GAGGAGGAGGAGGAGGAGGAGGAAGAAGAAGAAGAAGAAGAAGAAGAAGAAGAAGAAGAAGAAGAAGAAGAAGAAGAAGAAGAAGAAGAAGAAGAAGAAGAAGAAGAAGAAAAGTCAGGAAGAAGAAGGTCCAAAATAAAAATGAAACAATTAAGTGTTTCTCTTTGTTATCTATTCATCCCACAAATACACAAATGTTGAATGTCATACTTTATGGTAGATGTTTAGAATTCAATTGATTTAAAAAATTTAAATCATTCCTCCTTCTTACATTTTTAATGTAACTGAATAACCAAGAATTTACACTTTTTAAAATTTTAATCTTTAAATTCTGGTTTTGTTCTCTGGTCTGTGGAGATGTCACTGGGTGAATATCTTTGGATTGACCTCAGTTTCATGCTCTATGAGACAAGCACAATGCACCAATCCCTTTAAATTTGGAGAAGTTCAGGGAGATGCTGAATAGCATAGGTAGGTTACTGTGTGGTCAGAAAGCAAATGCTCTATCAGTTTCTGACTAGAAAAACATAGTGTGTGCCTGGAAGTCTCAACAAAGTGCAGAGCATAGATTCACGGTATAGTTAAAATCTTTTTTCCAATGTGAGGGAAATAGAAGAAAACAGAGTTAATGTTAATGTCTCAGTGAGAGCGGAATGGAGCTCACTTAAAATCCACATTGCTCAAAGCTCCTGCATGTTTACATCATATCTTGTTCTCTTCTACCCTAACACGAGTTCATAAAGACCATCTCCATTACATCTCACCAGGACAGACAATTGATTAAATATTTTCAGTCCCAGAATAGTATATTTATGTACACATGTTTTCAAACTCAAGATCTGTAGGCTTTTTCACATAGAGAAAGATCAAATTCTCTTCAGAAAGAGTAATCATCAAATCATATACTATAGTGACTTCCAAGACAGATGAGCTCTTTCTACCTTCAACTTTCTGCTGCTGTTTAATCAAAATCACACAAAACTTCTCAGTGCCTTCTTAAGACAGTTGACACCAAGTCCATAAAAATTAGAAATTAGAAAATCTGGTTTTATCCTCTGTCACACTATTTCCCTCCCCTCTACCCAAAAAAGAGGACGTACTTACCTGTGTACAGGTCAGTGTCTGTGTATTCATCCACTTTCTTGTGCTGCAGAATGTAGTCAGAGACTTTGGTCCCGATTGCTGGCTGAACATCGATCCACTCTAGGGAAACCACAGTGCTGGAAGGCTCCACTGTGGGGGAAAGTCGCAACCTAATGGAGGAAATGACAGACAAGGTTGCTCAGTTGCCATTTTGTATAATTCAAGGCCCTAAACACTTGCAGAAGCTTCATCTGAGGCTCAAATCACGATTCCATTTGCTACCACAACTTTACATGGCCTTAAAACTGCTTTAGTTTTCAAGGATTCCATGTCTTTGTCCACAAATCAGAGATACAAAAATCTCCCTTTAGGTCTGTGGGCAGCAGAGGAGAGGAGGGTGCCTGAACTGGCCTTCTTCCATGGCCACACTGATGAATAACACCTTCATCTGGCGATGAATGGAGATAGAGACACAGATCTACATTGGAGCACTAGACTGAGCTCCCAAGGCCCAGATGAAGATAAGAAGGGAGAACATGAGCAAGGAAGTCAGGACCGTGAGGGGTCGGTCACCCACTGAGACGGTGGGGCTGATCTAATGGGAGATCACCAAGGCCAGCTGGACCGGGTCTGAACGAGCTTGTGATCAAACCGGACTCTGAATGTGGCTGACAATGAGGGCTGACTGGGAAGCCAATGATAATGACACCGGATTTTGATTCTACTGCATGTACTGGCTTTTTGGGAGCCTAATCTGTTTGGAAGCACACCTTCCTAGACCTGGATGGAGGGGGATGGAGGAAAAGGCCTTGGACTTCCCACAGGGCAGGGCATCCTGACTTCTTTTAGGACTGGAGAGCGAGAGGGGTGGGGGAGTGAGGGGAATGGGAGGGAAATGAGAGGATGGGAGGAGGTAGAAATTTTTATAAATAAATAAATGCAATATTCAATAAATTAACCTATGATTACAGTATGTGTTCAATGAAAACTGGTTGGTGTTTGATTTATTTAAACTACAATTTCAGTGCTGTTTCATTTTATAGAAATACATTGGCAAGGACTAAAGATGGTACTTTCCATCTTTCTGCCAGTCCCTTTTGGTCCTGAATGGATCAGTCAACTTTTAATACCTTCAAGTATCTCCAATTGGTACTTAACACAATCTGAGAGAGAGAGAGAGAGAGAGAGAGAGAGAGAGAGAGAGAGAGAGAGAGAGAGAGAGAGAGACAGAGAGAGAGAGAGAGAGAGACAGAGAGAGAGAGAGACAGAGAGAGAGAGAGAGAGAGAGAGAGAGAGAGAGAGAGAGAGACAGAGACAGAGAGAGACAGAGAGAGAGAGACAGAGAGAGAGAGAGAGAGAGACAGAAAGACAGAGAGAGAGACTTTTGGAATAAATTATTCTGCAAAGCAATAAGAAAGAGAATTATTGAATGTTGTAACTAGACTGTATATTTTCCTCATTTCACAAAGCAGGGAAAATAAGGTCCCCAAAGTAAAAAATAAATCTACAGAGTAATATAACAAAACACGACAAGATCATCATGGTAACCTTGCCTACCTTGGGGTCAGATTCTTTGTACCCACTATACTCTACTTTCTCTACAAGGACAGTTTTATACTGTGGGTTCTCTTTCTCTACACAGATGTTTTATGGCATTTTGGCTGCCAATTCAGGCTCCTGGCTATTCCTCCTTGCACTGCCTCTTCATAAGCACATTTGTCCAAACAAGATGACTTTTCTTTGCTTCCTCAGACAAATTTCTGGTGTCAGGTACTTCTATTATGCTGTTCAATCTACGTAAAGATTTTTAGCACTTATGACCTAGCTTACTGTTCCTGTTGTGATTCAAAAGTCCCTTCAAAGGTATTTTCTTTATTAACTTCCCCTTTAATTTTATTTTAAACTATGTCTTATGTACTTTTAACAATATGTCTCTCCTACATTAATATCAGCCTCCTTCAGCTACAGTTAGCCTCTATCTTTGTCCTTGGTATTTTATTACCCAGGAACTGACACACAGAACATACATGGAATTAGTGTCTGAAAACTGAATAAAATAGGAGAGGTTGTATAGTTTTTTATCTCAGTAGCTGTGGAAGCCATGGTAGGCATTAGCAAGGCCAGTCAGTTGCCCAGAAGAACAGTGCTTGGCAGGTAAGCACAGGAAGAAGAAATGGATGAGAAGACATCATTTTAAAACAACACACACACACACACACACACAACCACCACCAACAACAACACCATACACTGCAAACTCAGTGTATGTGCCAATTTCTGATTCCAAGAACCTCTTCTTTCCCAAAGGAGAAGTGAAACACCAGATATTTTAATGATCTGGGTAAGTACCCTGAAACAAGAAAATCATAGGCTCATCTGATAGATAATACTAGAGTGTGAGCGAGTGCAAAGGGGGAGGCAAAGGAAGAGGGGCCATACATACTTACACCGGCTGTGGAAGCGGGCTGCAGTTGGGAAGCCCACTGGCATCGAAAGCACTAAGGTCACACCTACACCAGTCATCGATCACATCTCCTTTCCCAGAACACCAGTAGGAACTCATCAGTGCACTCTTGAAGGCCTGAAAGAGAGAATGACAGAAGGGTGACAGTCAGAGAGACAGCCAATAAAGGTGTGGTGATGGGCATGACGTTACCCCACCATAGTTTCCTGACGCCTGTTCGCTTACATGTTTGTGGCCTTATCATCCAGGTTCTCCCATCCCAAGACAGTCATTTCCCAGTGTCCAGAATAGTGGAGACATGGAGCTAGCAGCATGCTGGGAACTTCTCTTGATTCTGGCTCTCTATCTACTAACACAGATCCTCTTCATAATAATCCCACGTGGTAATTATTACTATTATTTCTCATTTTACATATGGAAAACTGAAACACACTGAAAGTAATTAAAGTTCACAGGTAGTAAGTATCAGAACTTGGATCAAATCCCTGGCTCCCATCTTTGGTTACACCATCTTAAACAAACTGAGTCTCATCTGCTTCCTGCGCCAGAGCCTGTCCTACTAGAGATACTGCATCTAAATATCTCACCGCCCTACTTAAAAATATGAAGCTTCCCACAGTCTTCAGGACTACATCTAAACTCCTTATTTAAGTTCTTGGCTTTCTCTCTAGATTCATCTCATACAAGTCTTAGGAACTTCAGTACACATGATTATCTATTTTCACGGAAGCACTAATTGCCCTCAGTAGTCAATTCCTATCTATTAACTTAGGAGACAACAAACTACCTCTGCATAAGGCCATAAAGCAATCTCTTTCAACTTGGTGATCAGATAGTTTCTGTTATAATTACTTAATACCGCCTTCGTAGGATGCTAGCAATGTCAACTATACTTTAAGTGAATAATATGTTACAAAAAAAGGACTTCATTGGCAATGCTAGTCACTGGGGTAGAGTGAGTCCCATGGTCCTGCTTTGCTTATCTTTCTTTTAAATGATGGTCACTGGTCTACTTAATTCTAATGTTTCTCATTTTCTTCTAAAAATATCCTCTTTTAGGCCTGAAAATCTTCATTCCATTGAACTCCAACTCAATATGTTTAGTTTTAAATAAGACTTTCCCTTAAACCTAAGACTAATCATGTTCTTTTGGACACCATGACACTAAGTCATTCGTATCATCATATCTCTGTATCTGTCTTAAGCTTTAAATTCTAATCCTAATTGCTACCAAGCACAAAAAATAGACTGTCCTCCCAGAAGTGTTCTCCTAAGACTTACTGTGATTCAGTTAGTATTTAGTGAACAAATGAACAGTCACTTAAAAACTGATTATTAATATCAGGTGGAAAAAGGAACTTAGGAGTTTCCATCTCCCAAGGTATTACAGGCTCGGGTCTTTCCTGTGTTGGCTTCATTTCTCTTATATCTGTTTTGTGTGAAATATACTAACAACATGGGTCTGGTGCTTGAGAAAATGCCCTGGTTAAGTCACTTCCTTTTCACTGACAGTTCACATCTTTGGGGAGAATGTGGGATCCAGCTCCTTAAACCTTAAGAAAATGTTCGTCTTTTGCTCTTTTGCCAGTATATGTTGGGCCAACCACAAGTGTTTTCTCTCCTTTTCTGTTACTTTGTCTATGATTTACAATGGATTTTGCACATTACCTGATTACTCTGATGACATGTTTTTATATTCTGCATTATTCAAAATACTCAGGAACAGAGTATTTGAATACAGCAAGTATGGGTTTTCCATCCTTAGCTCCTCAGAGGCACATAGATCTCAGTCAGTGGTTCTCAGCCTTCCTAATTCTGTGACCCTTTAATACAGTTCCTCATGTTGTGGTGACACCCAACCATAAAATTTTTATTACTGCTTCATAATTATAATTTTGCTACTATTATGAATCATAATGTAAATTTTTTGGAGATAGAGGTTTGTCAAAAGGGTCATGACCCACAAGTGAAGAAGCAAGAATCTAGAAGGAGGAGGTATATAACAAGAACGTTGTGTTTAAGTCTCTACCCTACTTTTCCCAGAGACACAAACAGAAAACCTCCAATTAATCTTTGTAGTGTTTTTGCCAATATCTTCTGCTAGAAATGAATGCATTAACCAATTTCTCCTGAGTCTAGTGTATATCCAAGGACATGAAAAAGAACTATAATAAAAGCTAATGTTTATGACTTCCCCAACTTCAGAGTCCAAAGTAAACAACAGCAGCAAAGAGCTAAAAATCAAAATAATCAAACAAAGAAAACAAAATATCCATTCAAAATTTGGGTTGAGATCTAAACAAAAAATTATCAGAGGAAAGAAAAACAGCAAAAAATACCTTCTCAAAGGGTTTAACATCCCTATCAATTAGGGAAATACAAATCAAAAGGATTCCGAGATTTTGTTTTACACCAGACACAATAACAAAACTCAACAAAGCAGCTGACAGCAAATACTGGGGAGGATGACAGAAAGGGAACCTTCAGTCACACTCCTGGTGAGGTTGCAAATTGGTCCTGCTCTAGAAATTAATGGGGAAAACATTCAAAAGCTAAAAATAAATAAAACACATGTTCCAGCTATATGCCCAAAAGATTGGACATCCTACATCATAGATACTTGTTCAGCCAGGCTCACTGCCACTCCATTGACAAGATCTAGGAAATGGATACAAACCTGAATGTCCTTCAACTTTGGTTATATAAATAACCAAAATGGGGTACATGTATGCAATGGAATACTATTCAAAAGTTAAAAAATTAAAATCATGAAATATGAATATAAATGTAGATCAAGTAGAGAAGATCATATTGAGTTGGGTAATGTAGATTCATAAAGACAAACAGCACATGGTTTCTTTCCTCTGGATTCTTAGCCTCCAGGGCTTGAGATGTCTGTCTACAACCTAGAGTACCTACAAAAACCAAGGAAGCAAAAATGGGTTTATTGTGAGGGGCAGCAATAGAGGGGAATAACAGGGAATTGAAGAGGGAAATTAGGGAAGTGTGTGGGAGGATTTGACTGGGGAGCAGGGAGAAAAATACATAAGTAGAAGGAAGGTAGGGGAACAGAAAGAATGCCTTAAAAAGCTCTTTGGATTGGAGAGGGAGGGGGAGAGGAGTGGAGGGAGGGGGAGAAGAGTGGGGGGAGGGGGAGAAGGGTGGGGGGAGGGGGAGGGAAATGGGAGGAGGGGAGGAGGCGGAAACTATTTTTTTCTTATTCTCAATAAAAAAAAAAAGAAATGTAGTTAGTGTGTGAGAACTNGATTGGAGAGGGAGGGGGAGAGGAGTGGAGGGAGGGGGAGAAGAGTGGGGGGAGGGGGAGAAGGGTGGGGGGAGGGGGAGAAGGGTGGGAGGAGGGGGAGGGAAATGGGAGGCTGGGAGGAGGCGGAAACTATTTTTTTCCTTTTCTCAATAAAAAAAAGAATAAATAAAAATCATAGATCAATTTGAAAAAAAAAAAAGTCAAAATGATGACCCCAGCGAGCACACTGACGAGGAAGGGAAAAGCTTACAGGTTCCCAAACCTTGACAAAGAACTACTGGCAAGTAGGTAATTTTGACAGTGGAGAAATAGTCTTCCCCAAGGAAGAACCACCCTAAAGTCGTTATCTAATACGAAGTGGTTAGCTCTATGATCATATATACACAGGTAACATAATATAGACCAAGAAGGTTGTATTTCTGTTTTTAGATGTGTGTGTGTACAGCAACAATAAAAAATAGAAGGCCATTTATTAGAGAAAGAGCAAGGGCAAAGGTACATGAGAGGAAATGGAGGGAGAGAAGGAAAGGGGGAAATGATGCAATTATATTGTAATTTCAAAAAATAAAAAGGTATTTTAAAAATGTAATCTCCATAACAGTTCTGAAAGCTGTATAATACAAATGAAAAGACTAGGAATCTGGGCATGAAGTAATTTTCCAAGACCACACAGCAAGAAAATGATGCAAGCAGAATGCAAGTCTATACTTCCATCACTTACAAAAGTACAGCTCTTTTTGGTTCAAACATGAAAATCAGTGGGATTAGCTACCAGGTTCAGTAAACTCAAACAGAACTAAAGGCTTAATTACCACAGTAGTGAAACCAAGGGCCATGGGAGAAAGTGGCCCAGAAGGTAATACTGTGCCGGGGTCCAGTGTAGACAGAGAACTTCCTGTTTTGTGTGTGTTGTGAGCCTCTCTCTCTCTCTCTCTCTCTCTCTCTCTCTCTCTCTCTCTCTCTCTCTCTCTCTCGTTGTCTATGTGTGTACACATGTGTATGCACTTACATGTGCACATGCACACACTCACACGTGTACACATGAGTGGTTTCTGTCATCAATAGGAAACTGAGCTTGTAGAAAACAAAACAGGAAATCTCCCTGGACTTGGTGAATTTCACCATCTAGGCAATTTTGGGGAAGAAATCTTGCCTGTGAGTCTCCACATCCCCTGGCTGCTTCCCAGAATGCTGGGAACAGAACAGGGACTGGTTCAGTGGCCAGGCAAGCCCTGGAGAGAGCACAAACAGACACTGATAAAAGGCTGACATCAAACAGGTAGCTCTTGCAAGGCAGCAGGAGCCAGCACTGTGTCAGCACAGGATCACTCTGCCTTGCATCTTCAGTCCTTGCAACACTCCATCCACAGGCCAACTTGATCCCAGGGGAAGGGAATCATAGGATGTTCCAGTTTTATAGGACTTGGTCTGTTAATCATCTAATCTAATCCATTTACAGATACAGATACAGATACAGATACAGATACAGATACAGATACAGATACAGATACAGATACAGATACAGATACAGATACAGATACAGATACAGACAGATACAGTGACCCAGAAAGCATAGCTTGTTACTGCAAGGTAACAGATCTTCTCTGTGATTAAAAAAAATCATTTTCCTCCTTTAATTCATGCTCAAAATTATCCTCTGCAACGAGTTTTCTATTGAAGAGCATAAGAAAGGAGCATGAAAAATTGAAATCCATTGGAATTCTGTGCAGTTGAACATCCTAGGTCACCCAGAATAATAAATGACAGGATTTCATCCAAAATCTAATTTTAGCTTCTCTGTTTTGAATCATATGTTTATATGTTTGTGGGAGTGTGCTTGTACTATGTGTGT